CTTAAGCAATTTCACACATTCGTTGATTCAAGAAATACCGTTTTATCATTATTGAACTTAAATACCGTGATAGGAAATAGAGTGAGAGGTCCTTACTCGTTTCGGGGTCCGAACACGGCTTCACAGTGCGCCTACAAGCTGTTCTTAATTTTTCCTGAATTTTTTTCAGGGAACTAAAACGCACTACTGGTACCTGCACGTGTTCCAAAAAATCTCAAATTAGGCCCAGGGCCCCTTTTTGGTCAATATCGCAATTCCGGCACGGGGGCTCCGCCGTGCTCCGGCGACGGCGATTCGCCTCGGTTTGGCCTTTTTTGGCCGAATTCGCCCACACTTGCATCGGTCCTTGCGATAAAACAACCCTCGAGGGGCCAAAAAATTACGGAAAACCGAAGTTTACCGGCGGTGGTGCTCTCGGGTGCGGCGGCTCTCCGGTGAAGTTCGTGTTTTGGTGATTCGGCTCCGATCAACCTGTAGAGAAAAGAATGGTGATCACGGTGATATAAAAATTGCATCAAACGGAGGCCGGGAAGGGCCTCATCGGAGGCAAAAATTGAGAAGGGGCGCGGCGGCGCTGCTGGGTTTCGGCCGTGTTTTTCGGCCGTTTGGCCGGGATTTTGGCTCCGATTTGGCCACAGGGGAAATCAGCGTGGAAAAACGAGTCGGGGGTATGAAATTTACCTCGATCGGCGGTCGGAAATCTCCCCGGTGCGGCGGCGGGTGGCGGCGGCCGGCGTCTCCGGCGTCTGGTTCGTCTTCTCTGGCGAGGGCAGTCAGCTAGGGTTTTTGTGGTCAGTTGTGGGGGTTCTATTTATACTTTTTTGCCTTTTGATCTCAGCCGTCCATTTTGTTTTAATTTGGGCCGTCCGTACGATTGCATCTGAACCGTCCGTACGCACGCTTGATCTGGGCCATCCGATCGCGCGTACGCGGATCGCCAACGTGGCCCGTCCCCGGTTGACGTGGTTTTGCCACGTGGCAGGTCCTGATTGGCTGAGACTGCTGACTGGGTCTGCTGACGTGGCGTTGTTTTTTTTTTTTTAACTCTAATTAAAATAATAATAATAAATTTTTTTTCTTCAAATTTCCGGGCATTACAATTTTACCAGAAAGAACTTAGTCCAGTGATTACTTCCCAGTTACCCTTCTATGGGATCAATTCAATCATGATAACACTTTTAGGGATTGCATAAGAAAGTTAAATTTCACGGTTAACGTTAATGGTGAACAAAAATAAACTGAAAATAATTTATAAAGTAAAAATCTTTTTAGTTAATTATTAAAAAAAATTTCTTTTATGTATTTTCTAAAATTTGCCCAAAAAATAATTGGGGAACAATGTTGTCACCATGACTTGCTGATTTAAATTTAAAAGGGAGGTATAGTACCGTTGTTCTTCAAAAGTCATCATGGCATCTCCACTTTGCTTGCTTACTCTTTATCCTTTTATTTATTTCTTTCTTTCTTTCTTTGTCCCTTCGGTGCACAATTTTTTTTTTTTTGAAATATATGTTATACATAAGATATCATATATTCATATATATACATGCTCTTCTTGTTTCACCCTATTCTTGCTTTTTTGAGAAAACCAGCTTCTTCTCCTTCTTTTACCCTTTCTTAATCCGTCAGCCATAAAACAATTTTCAATGGGTAAGTGTCCATGTCTCGCTCTTTCTTTTCTTGCTTCTGACTTCCTCTCTTGATTGCCTACTGTAATTGCAGTTATCCATGTCCTTGCTGAAAAAACAAAAAGAAACCAAAAACTATCCCTGTTTAAGTTCATCATAAGAACTTCTGGGCTAGAAAAGGTTATGCCTGAAAAGTAAAAAAATTCTTTTGAGTTTGGTTTCTGGACTTGCTTTTCTGTGTAGTTTGGTCGCATGGAATATTGAGTTTTAGCTTCTTGGTCTCAGCTTCCTTCACTTATTCATGTAATTTGAGCAAATTTTAAGATACCATTTCTTTATTTCTTTCTTTTTTGTCTAATTTTTTAGGGGCATGATATTGGGTGCTTTTTTTTGAGTAGTTGACACTTTAATGGTGTTATTGTTAGTGCCTAATAATCTTCCTGCTATATCTTTTAGAAGTATTTAGGTGTTTATATTGTCTTGCTTTATGTTTGGTTCAGGTGTAGATATGAAAAACAATATGGTATGAATGAAAAAAAGTTGGAATGAGAAAAGTGTTTTAGTTTCATTTTCAAATTCTTATCTGAAATACCAGAAATTCATCCCAAAGAAATTCATGGTAGATGCAGGATTGTTAGCTCAATCAGTTTTGTGTCAAAGTGATCCCAATTCTGGGTATTGTACACATTCTAGTGCTTATGGTAAAAAAGAATAAACGGGTTTGAACCAAACATGGCCTTATAGTTGTCTTTTGACTTAAGTAAAGTAGGTTCCTTGCTTGTTTACATTTAGATATTCATCTGATCCTGCCTGGTTAAGAAAGCAGATAATCATATTGTCATTGTCTACGAGATTCCTTTCCTTGCTGTCTAATTTCTAGCAAAGCTACATTTATCTGGCCGCCACAAGGAATCAAGGGAAAGTAAAGAAAAATGCTCCAAATGCTTAAGAAAGGAATTTTTGTAGGCACAAGCTACTATCTTCTTGTTACATCTTTAAAGATTCATATAGAAATCGAGGAACAGCAATAGACTAAGTGGAACCAACACTTCAAACTGGTTAAATAGGCATATATTGCATTTTTTTCATCTCTGGTTTTGATAATTTCATGAGAAACTTTGACTGGTGAGGATCCCTCTATAAATTATCGGATTTTTACATCATCAGACGATATTGATGATGCCATAAAAATCTATGAAGCACTGAGGACCAATGATTACAGGGGAATATGAAGTTTAGGTTGTTAGCCAGAAATGTGAAAGTTTGCCCAAATGCTAACATAAATAGATAAGAAGTTGGGTAAGTTACCAAATTGCTATGAGATGTAAGAACATTTTGGCATTTAAGACACAAAGAATTTGCATGAAAATTTTCAAAAGACAATTTATTCTTTCCAGATTCCTAAAGATGTTATTTGAATTTTCTATTAATTTGGCTGAGCAAACATGTAAATTTGACATCTAATTCAGCACGTTTTATTTTGAAGGCAAAGCGCATCCTTGTGCTTCTCTCAAGTCCCTGTCCAAAAGAGTAGGAGGCATACTTTGCTATTGTGGTTCGTCAGACAAGTACGAGAAGTTGGACGCAAAGCTCGAAAAGAAAATGATTGAATTTAAGAGAAATTCATCAGGACATCAGAATTTCAAAACGATTGACAGTATAATTATGAGGTTCCCTGAGTTGAAAGAAGGATTGAAAACTATCAAATATGTATTTGATCAATATGGTAGGTATGATGAGGCTGCTTTCTATGTTCTTTCCAACGTAATTATTAGCATTAACTGATTCTGGTTGTCCATCTCTCTCTTAGACGAAGATGGTAATGAAATTATCGACCGTGAGGAACTCAAGAAATGCTTAGAAAAACTACAACTTCATCTTACAGAGGAAGAGGTTGAGGTTCTATTTGATTCTTGTGACTTTGATGGGAACCAAGGAATACAATTTAATGAGTTTATAGTTCTCCTATGCCTCATCTATCTCCTACTTAAACCTTCCTCCTCTTCTTATGCCGGCACCGTATGCAATATGAACTCGATTTTGATTCCTCTTCTTTATCTGAGAATGTAGCATAACCTTAAGGTTTTCATTAATCTGGGAATTTGTTTCAGACATCAAACATGGGTTCACCAGAGCTTGAGGCAACTTTCGACACCATAGTCAATGTATTCTTGTTTCTGGACAAGAATGGAGATGGCAAGCTGAACAAAAAGGATATGATCAAGGCATTAAACGAGGCGTGCCCTTGGGAGAAATCTCCTGCACATGTC